TCTAACCTTCCCGTACATAATATACAGTACTTAAAGCTAATTACACATACATTTGCTACACCCTATAACAAAACACCTCATGTTCTACGACTTTGAGCACAGGCTGTTAGCCTTCCCACAACCCCACAAAGATTCCATCTAATCAGTACCCTGCACCCTCCCTCTGCCCTCTACTTACTCACCTGACACTGGCCACATTGGGTGTATGAATCGGGGTGGTGCTTCCCTGACTTCCACAGCGTGATCCTGGTTTTCGCGAGGGGGAGCCGTGGCCCTGTTCTTCATCGTCATTAGCACCGAACATGTTAGAGAGGCGAGCGAACATGGCACTTTTACTGTTCCTCTTGGTGCTGCCACGGTCCTACTGCCCTTCTGCAAGACAGCACTGATCAATGGACATTCTTTTGCTTTCAGGGAATATCTGAAGGGAGAATCACTCTCACACACCCACACACACACATGCACACATGCACACAAAGACACGCATACGCGCACACACACACACACACACACACACACACACACACACACACACACACACACACACACACATACACACACACACACACACGCACACGCACACACACACGCACACGCACACGCACGCACACACGCACGCACACGCACACACATGCACACAAAAATCAAATAAATATCCTATTTAACATTCTTTGACACCATAAAATACACTCTAACACCCACTGAAAATGATTAATGCAACTGTTGACAAAACTTACCAAGTTGCAGATACACAATTTTTAAAAATCTTCAAAATGTGTTTCAAACAGCTTCCCAATCACAGTTTAATTGAAAAAAGTATGAACAATATGGCAAAAGGTGTTACATTATTAGACCATGACAAGCATTCAGCAATACCAGGTGATATATTATGAGTGTTTCCCAATTGCCAAGATAAGATCTTGTGTCTTTTACCACAAGTCAGACAAACCACATTTCAGGTCATTTTGCAGTCCTCTTTACTACAGTGTCATGTCAGGATACTAACTATATTAGTATCAATGAGCTGTTTTTGATATATTTTGATATATTTGTACTCAAGGTTCACCAATACTATCGGCCTAAACAGCTAGGGAGTGTGTATATATCCAGGAAATTGATAAGTACACATAAAAAGATAATGTATATAAACAATATATTAAGCAAAATAATTATTCAAACGAAATTCCAAGGTGGTCTGCGCCAGGTGTCACACATGTGACAACCAGAAAAATAAACATGGCCGGCTGTCCCACTGGTGCGACGCAAGATTGGAGCTTGCACTCTGATTTTGTTGCGTCGTGATAGGTGGCACACATGCAGGTTCATGGACTGGCTCGCACGCTGATTTTGATACAACTGGGATTATCAGTTTCCAAATGGACCATTGCTAGAGGGTTAAGAGCATATCTCCAGAGCTGTCTACAAATTACATCTTGTGACAATATACCTGGAGGTAGTTTACTGGTTCTTTACTGGAGGTAAAAGCCCTGCAATATGACTGTCATGTTATAAAAAAATTTGACTGCGGGCTGGGTATCATAATGACTAATCATGTGTGCACAAAGCTCTTGGAGGACGATTAGACTCAGTTGGACTGTAGAAAGGAGCCTTTACATTATTTCCACCAGTTAATGGGGGTGGAATATACCACCTGTAAGCCATGGCTGCATGAGGGCCAGCTCCAGAGAGGACAATATTTCCATATCACAGGATCCTATTCCTGCCTGCCTTGACCAAGAGCACATGTGCTGCTATAGAAAATTGAATAATAATAATAATAAAAAAATTACTGTTATTGTTATTGCACTGAGTTATAGACAAGCTACAGAGATAATATGGAATCTGCTCAATAACAGCAGTTAGTTACTCTCTTGATACTGTACAACAAATACATGTTGACCTAAGAAAATGGCAAAAAAGAAAAAGAAAATATCTTATGCAGAAAAAGAGATAACAGCATCGCAGAGGGGAGGTAACAAGCTTTATTACTGCACAGAAGTGTTTGTGTGGGCCGGGCCTTTGAGCCTCGAGAATCCCTACTCAAACATGCCTAATGCCAGATTTTTGGTCCATGTGCAGACCATGATACCCTGATCCATGTTAAACAAATTCAGATGATCAGTTGTATCATATGCAATACACTGATGTTGGAATCATATGTACTGATAACCTGGCACTTATCTATTTTGAAAACTATTCAGCTTGAGCCAAATGTCAGAATCAGCCCCCAATCTTAAGTAAGATGGACAGTATATATGTCATAGGCTTACACTTTTCCAAAACCAAAAATAATGAATACTGAAAAATGCCTTCACAACTTCTTAAACACCACTGGCAAAAACTGTTAATTTTGTCTTATTGGCCTTGTGAAGGATTTTTTTTCTTGATATATAATGACCATCTGTTAATTAAACATTTTTAAAGAAGCACACAGGTAACAAATTGGAAATATTTTCAAAGTATAAAAAAACATGAATGAAATATGCAAGTTTCTAAAATGGAAAAAAGTTAACCTAGGTATTGTCATCTCTTATCTTACATGCTTACGCCATGACATGAAAGGCAAAACTACCTGTCACTACAAAAAGTTGTCTCACAAAATTGCTTAAATCTACCTATTATTAGTCCTTCTCTATTCATAAACTCAGCAGAGTACACAAGGTTCGTTAAAACGCCAGCTAAACCCCATAGCAACCTCACTGCACTAGCCCTCGCTTTCAACAAGGCCTTTTTCTCCATTTTCCTTTCCTCTGGACTTACATTTTGAATTGCCTCGTTGGCTCTGCTTGTCTACATTTTCAATGACTTTTGTGACTTTTTAAAATTGTTAATCCTATCGGATTGCTCTACACAGTTATTTATGCATTTTATTCCAAGACGATTCACTGAGGGCGTCGGAGTTGCCATTACGAGCGGGCCGTAATAAAATAGTTTACTTTCCACTTTCGATTAATATAA